TATTCTTCAAAGCACCTGAGGGTAGAACAAGAAGCAATGGGTGGAAACTAATCAAGGAGAGAACTGAGGAGAAATTTCCTGACAGAACAATTAATCAATGGAACATCTTGCCTCCAGAGGTTGTGAATGCCCCAACACTGGAAGTCTTTAAGAAGATGTTGGATAGCCATTTGTCTGAAATGGTATAGGATTTCCTGCCAAGGCAGGGGGTTGGACTAGAAGACCTCCAAGGTCCCTTCCAACTCTGCTATTGTATTGTAAGTGTGTGTGTGTCTGTGTGTGTAAGTATATGAATATGTATATGTGTGTACATGCGCAAACAACACATCTGGATATATACATACCAACGTACAGATAAAATGGAACTAGAACTCACTGTCTCCTGATTTTTATCCTGGTGTCTTAACTACTAGATCAAACTGGCCAGTTTGATCTAGTAGTTAAGACACCAGTATTGAAACTAGGAGACTGTGAGTTCTAGTCCCACTTTAGGCATGTAAGGTGGCTGGGTGGCTTTGAACTAACCATCAAGGGACTGTGAGTTCTAGTCCCCTCTTAGGCATACAAGCTAGCTAGGTGACTTCAGGCCAGTCACCCTCTCTCAGCCCAACCCAGTTCACAAGGTTGTCGTTGAGGGGAAAATAGCAGGAGGAAGTTGTATTGGATATGTTTGCTGCCTTGAGTTGTTTGTGAAAATAATAAAGGCGGGATACAAATAATCGTAATTTATTTCCCCAGCAAGTCTTTTTTTAAACACTGAGAAGAAAGTTGCGCCGGGGAGAAATCAACCGATGGAGAATGCTTGTCAGGTGTAGGCAGGCCAAAATCAACAGTGGATGTGGCCAGAGCATTATGCGGCCAAAACTCTGTCTATTTTTCTCATTTTTCCCCCTCCATTCCCTTTTCTGTCTTCTCTCTCTGACACCGCTGTTATCTCTCTAGCTCTTCCTAACGCCATTTCTCTGTCTCCCTCTCCCCCGATATGGCAATGCCTCACTGCATTTAGAAAAGAAGAAGCAATCAGACAGGGCTTACAAAAAAATGGTGTCAAGAGGCTGACATTTCCCATCACTGATCAAGGAGAAACATTTCACATATTCTTTCAAGTTTGCCTTTAAAATGCCAGAAGCAAAAAATAAAGGAAGGGACAGATAACAGTAGAATTTGCGCTAGTTCTTACTTCTACCTAAACTTAAGAGGGCTACTTGGAAAAAAAATAAGTCTTTTATAGGCCCAAAATAAAACCCAGAATTCATTCAATATTCCCTTTGTACTTCCAAACATAGTTAACCCATCAGCTCACAGGATTTAAATAGTATATGTTATGAGTATTACCATATTTTTCGGAGTATAAAACACACTACCCCCCCTCCCAAAAGAGGGTGAAAATATGGGTGCATTTTGTGCCCTGCCCACCCGCCGGCCCTCATTCTTTGGCCTCCGCGCATCGTGTTTTAGACCTCTTCCAGGCTGCAGAGATTGCCACAGACTATCGCCCCTCCATTGCTTGTGTTTTTGGTCTCTGCACCTCGCGTTTTCAGCCTCTGAATGCTCCATTTGAGATCCGTTGAAGGCTGCAAGGCTGCCGATTACCGCCTCTGCGCATCGTGTTTTCTGCCTGTGCGCGTTGCGTTTTACGCCTCCACATGCCCTTTTTTTGGCCTCTGCACATCACGTTTTGGGGCGGCGATTGGCAGCAATGTGCTTTGCTGATCGCGGCAGCCTTGAACGGGTCTCAAACGGAGTGTTTCGAGGCAGAAAACACAAGTCACAGAAGCCAAAATGGCAGCCGGAAACAGCCGCTGCCTTGTCTGACCACTTCTGCGCTTCGCCTGCTTTACTCACTGGAATTCCCTGCAACGATCAGCTGTGTATTTGAAGCTGCGTATCAGCCCCAACGAGGCGCGACAGCACGGACTCACAACCAGCGAACTAATGCGCTGAAGCTGACCAGCCTGTTTGCTAAGCACGCTAGCCAGATGAATACCGATGGATGCTGGTAGGCAGAGGCAGAGTTTTCTTTTCTTATTGTTCTCCCCCAAAACTAAGGTGCATCTTATACTCCGGAGCGTCTTATACTCTGAAAAATACAGTATTTCAATCCTGGCCAAATTTCTAGTAAAGTAAAATCTGTAGAAATATTTTGAAGAGAAAAATTGCCCAAAACAGACAGCAGTACTTAGCTGAACTTGGCTATGTTCATCCGCCAAGACCTGATTTTACTTCAATATTTCACTTTTTCAATTGTTATTTTACTCTCTGGGGAATCCCGCTGCTTCAGCCCCGACTGAAAAATTGAAAAAACACCAGAAGAAGACAAGGCAAACCAGTTCCACAGGGTTGCCAAGAAAACTACAACGGAGCATCCGTGAAAATCCTAGCCAGTGAATCTGGCTTGAAAGGGGTTTGCCCTTTCATTTAATCTTAGGTGTCTACTTGCCAATAATACACCTGAGCTTCTGTACTAAGATGGCTGACTTGATTTATTTATTTTGAATATGTTTTAGAGACTGCTCTTTGACTTTTGCAAAGAAAAGATAAAATTAATAGAGACCGGTCAGCTTTCACTACCGGTAGCCCTCGACTTGCAACCACAATTGGAGCCGGAATTTCTGTTGTTAAGCGAGGTGATTGTGATCTACCCCATGGTGCAACCCTTGTTAAGGGAATCGTGAGATAATTAAGCAATCCAGCTCCCCCCACCTTCAGAAGCCAGTTGGGAAAATCACAGATGGGGATCACAGGATTCCAAGATGCTGCAACTATTATAAATCCACGCCAGTTATCAAATGCCTGAATTTTAATCATGGTGTAGAATTGATGGTGCAGAATTGCGGATGCTGAGACAGTTATAAGGGCAAGTACCAGTTTCCCACGGCTGTTGTGATTTCCACCAATATGTAAACAAATGGCTGTAAATTGAGTACTATGTGTTATTTTCTCGCATTCCTATCTACTATGCCGTTTCTATAGCGGGGAAATGGGAAGGGGGGATAGTAAGGAGTAGAATGTGATGTAACCAAAATAAAATTCCTTTTAGATTGCCTAGGTCATCCTTTGTCTTGGTACCTCTGCACCTGACCGGAACTGGATGGGTGGATCTGCCAGTGTGGCAGTGGAAGATTGGACCATGTCATGGACTT